GTAGGACTGATTGATTGATTTTTTTTTTTTTCATAAAGATACCTTTATGTGTCCCAGTGTTTATGTGCTACTATAAGTTGATATGCTGTTCAGTGCTCAAGTAAGTCCAACTGGAAAATATTCTCAGAAGAATGACGTCCACAAAATGTAATAAGGTGCCATAACAGATGCATAAACCACCTCGTGTCAGCAGTTAAGATATTGCGACCTTGAACAACAGTGCCACTAATGCATGTGAACAGGAATGCTTTGATAGGCTTCACATGGTCTGGTGACGTCAAGGGCCAGGTCTGTAAAAAATGTTCTTACCACTTTTTACTCATCACACATGTTGGTAATAATGTGATTAATAATGCAAGGGAAATGTAGTGTTCCCTGTATTATTATTAAGTGAAAAGTCTTTGCTCGCAGATGGCTCTGCAAGCACTTAGCCACAAAGGTGTCAGTTAGTAGACCTGGTGACCTCACCTGATTTCACCTTTCTTTGTGTTTGTAGCAAAAAACTATTTTTTACTTAATCACAACATCGATATTGATAGCATATTATAGACATTATAATTATTATAATGTTACTGACATTACTAACAGCAGTATAAGAAGTCAAGGAACAGGGTAAACATATGAGATAAGTAATACTCATAACTAGCTCATTGGTAATTTCATACTTATGGGGCCACCTATGTGTAAAGGTAATTTCCCCAGTGCCATCGGATGGTTTCCCAATTCAAAAGCCCTCTCCAGGGCCGTATTCATAGTGGCCGGGGATCCTGTTGGTACCATAGCGTGCGCAGCATGACTATACAACCCCCCCAGAAAACAGGACCGGTGCACCATGGCATGTATGCATATGCAACCTGATAAATAGTCCAGGGTCAGGATACTCAAAACTACCTGTCCGTTACAAGGCTAAGGATGTTGTAACTGCTGCACTTCATCGTACCTTCCGATCTCCTTACTACATTGTAATCCACCTATACTCAATAAATAATTACAATGTAGTAAGCACATTGTAAGGCCCGTGTTTATGTTGTAAGTTAATTCCATTGACTACCAAGAGGGGGCAGAACGGTAGTCGATTGACCAAGTAGCATTCAGCCTGCTAGACGTAACAACGCATGGAAAGCTATGGCTATCTTATTGCTACGCCTCCAACAGTCACCAACACCATGGAAGGCCCAGCGACTGTCTCCCCGAGTGATATTTTTGAGACTCGGCCAAGTGTTATAAAATAAATTAACTATGATGAATTTCCCAGAATATCTCTACCTTTCATAGTACAGGTTTTAAACACTAAGGGAATATTATGATACAGAGCAATTATATATATATATATATATATATATATATATATATATATATGTAATATACATTTTTATTTCCAATATTTTTAACAATATGTTTATGAGGTCTCATATATGACTTTTTACTTTTTTTTTTTTTTTTTTTTTTTTTTTTTTTTTTTTTTTTTTTAAGTATAAGGCAAAAAATCCTAATTTCATGTGAAAATAAATTGATGTAAACATTCATACGGAAGAGTCACTAATTATTGGAATAATAATTCTTAAAAGGATTGTCTAGTTGGATATTTGGCATCGAAGAAGGTTATAGTAAAGCAAATCTAAGAAATCTGTGATATCGCAATAAATGCTTATCCTCTTCATTGAGAGAATCTAATGATTCTCTATAAAAATGTCTTCCACGTTGCAATGCTCGGTCATGAAGATGAGCAGCCACCAAAACATTGTTGTGTGTCATCTGTCAACTCAATTTACAGTCAATTTAGATTTGATTTAAAATAACGGTAATGCATGGGAAACAAAGAATATGCTAGACAACTGAAATTCCCAGTATTAACCCATTCGTGATGTGTGTCACGTATCTGTGACATGCCCACTGTGAGTTTACTTGTTTAATTGTTTTTAGACATAAATGACTACACGTACTAAAATACTAATGAGCCAGTTACGAGTACTGCCTGTCTCGCCCATTTACCCTTTTGTTTGATTTACAAAAATATTTTACGTTATCGTATTTTGCTGTTACTAATGTTTATAACATTATGGTAATTATAATGTTTATAATAAAAATAACCTTCGATATTCATAGCACTAGTAAAAATACATTTTCCCGCCAATTCAAGTAAAGATGAGATCAGGTAAGGCAGACCCATCTATGTGTAGAGACATTTCACAAAAAAAAAATATAAAAAATGAGCAGAGCATTTTCCCCATCATGAATGGGTTAAATATGGAAAAGACATGTTACTGTCAAATAAAGGTTTCTGTCGACTAAGTAATCAGGAAATAAACTGTACTATATCTGGTTTCAAACCCATACGAGAGCCCTTAACTTACAAGGTACTTTACAATGTGTGACGTCATAACATGGCGGCTAATTTTGTTTCGAGCATGACCTTCGGAGGCCTTACAACATTGTAATGGCTCCGTGGTGAGATACAACATTGTAAACTGTTTTGAGTATCCGGCCCCAGGCATGCCAT